CGGGCGTACTCGGTCAGAGAAGTGGTGAATAAACTTCCTGTAGAAGTTGGCAAATCCGACGAAGGATCGTACATGTTTGACACATGTCGGGACGGGCCAGTGCGTGATGCCGTTGACTTTGATCGGGTCCATGCCTATGTGTCCGGGTCGGATGATCATGCCTAAGAATTCCACTTCTTCTACGTCGAAGAAACATTTCTCGGGTTTGAGATAGAGGTCGTGTTCCTTCAGGCGTGCAATGACTCGTCGTGTTCGTTCATGGTGATCGTCGAGGTTGGCCGAGTAGATGAGGATGTCGTCCATATAAATCACCATCCAACCTTCTTCAAGCATGTCGGCGAAGATGACATTCATCATTCGCTGGAAGGTGGACGGCGAGTTACATAGACCAAAGAACATGACCGTAGGTTCGAAGAGTCGAGGAGGACCGCCATCAGTACCGGGTACTGCGAACGCAGCTTTCCATTCGTCTCCCTCTTTTACACGGACGTTGTTGTAGCCGGCACGAAGATCCATCTTGGTAAAGATCTTTGCGTGCTTGAATTTGTCCATGAGATCTGAGATGAGGGGGAGAGGATAGCGATCCTTGACCGTGTTTTCGTTCAGCTTCCGGTAGTCCTGACAGGGTCTCCAAGTGCCATCCTTCTTTGCAACGAAGAAGAACGGGCTTGCCATCGGAGATTTAGACGGTCGGATGTACCCTTTGGATTCGTTTTCCTTGATGAACTTATCAAGTTCTATCCGTTGTGCTGGATTCAGAGGATAGATCTGCGTCTTAAGCTCCGTGAAATCCGGTTTCAGGTTGATCTCATGGTCATATTCCGTATGCTCGGGAAGTCGAGCTGCCGTGCCTTTGTCAAGACCGATAGGAACTCGTGAAGGTATTTGGTACCATTTCCTTCAGTTCCTTCGGTTTATCGTCCTTGTGACTGGCAGCGGCTAGCTCAGTAGCGGTAGTTACGTGACCAATAGAAAACGCGGCTGGGATGATCCTTCCAGTCGTGGTACGGATGAAGCGATTGACGGAGTGCGGGGAGGGTGTGCTTGTGTCCAGGACATGTTCCTGGGTGAGGGGAACTTCCTGCGATGTCGTCATGTATACCATAGGTTCTCCTTTGACGTAGGACATCAGCACTTCGTCATTTGCTACGTCCGTCATCATGGCTCGAAGTTCAACTTCTGGGTCGAAGTCCTCTTCTATAGTCTTGGGAGCGATGTCAGGAATGGTTTCGTGTTCGAATTCTGGATCGGGAATTTCTTCTATCGTGGCGTGCAGGGATTCTGTTTTGACGGTACGAATAGCAGGCTCAGCTTGCTGTAGCTGGGCTTGCGTTGGTGGGTCGGGGAATCGGAAGATGCTTTTCTTCCAGTCAATGCGTGGGTTCTCCCTCTTCAACCAGTTGTAACCAAGGATTAAGTCCTGCTTGCCGATGCTGGCGACATATGCGGTGGTTACGCGCATGGTGTCATTCCATCGGTAGCGTAGGAATACTTTTTCTTCGATGGTTTTGACTTGGTTAGGGGTCCCGTCTACGTTGAAAACGGGGATTGGTCGTCGGAGTCGTTTGGTTCCTAGTCGTAGTCGGATGACTAGGCGGGGGTGTATGAATACTGCCATGGCTCCACTGTCCACGAGAGCATTCACTTCGGTGTCGGCGTCTTTTCCTTTCACGAATACGGGTAGGTGCAAAGATTCTGATTCTTCTATGCCGTATTGTACATGTGAGACGGTAAAGTTCGTGGGTTCGCACTGCGCTGAGTCGTGGAACCCTCCTAAAAATCCGCTCCGAGCTGCTCGAAGACGGACTGCTTTTCCTCGGCCTTCAGTTCTGCGAAGAGCTCGCGGATCGTCTTTGATCGCGGGGCCGGGGGAGGTGCGGTGTATTGTGCGGGACGATAAGCGGCTGGCTGTGGTACTTTGCCATTGCGGTGGTCAATGGAGCGGTGACCCTTCTGGTGGCACACGAAGCAAAGGCCTTCCTTCATATGTCGGTCTCGGTCCGCCTGGGACATGCGGTTGGACGTGATAGCGTCGATGTCCATGGGCTCGTCGAGTCGACCGCTCGTCCTGGGTGCCTGTCCACCGTGGGGTCGATCGACATATTCGCCGTAGGATGCGTGTTTCTGGGCGACGTCATACCAGTCCGACATCTTCTCCATTGTCCTGTCGGTTCCGAGCATCTTTCGAAGTAGCTCGGGTCGGACCGCACGGCGGAAACGGTTAGAGAGTAGGTTGTAGTCGTTTGCAACCCTGGTAGCTCCTGTTCCGGTAGCATCCCGGAACTTGGCTCGTGCCGCGGCCGTCTTGAATTTGTGTACGAACTCGTGCGTCGACATCTTTCCTTGGGTGAGATTGTCGAAGTCGGTGATGGCTTTGTCGAGGTGCTCATAGACGGGGAATGACGACGTGAGAGCGGTTACGAAGTCCTTCCAGGTCGGGTACATGACCTGGTTGCTTGCACGCTTCTCATTCTGTTCCTCGTAGAACAGAGTACGCCATCCTTTGGCCTTCCCGTCGAGCTTGGAGACGAGCCTAATGAGTGGGAAATCACGTTTCGAACGGTCCACCCGGAGTGCATTTGGCCCGTTTGTAACGGTGGACCCGGGCTCGGCCGGAGCACTCCGGGTCCACCGTTCGGAGCGGCCGCCGGCAGCAACGAACCGGCCGGAGGGAGGGTGGTGGTTAGGAATGGTCCGGCCGGCCTGTGGTGTAACGTTCCGGCCGGACCTCAGGCGAACGACCCGGCCGGAGGCCTCGAAAAAAATAGGCTTTCTACGGTCCGGCCGGACACAGACCCAGCGTTCCGGCCGGACCCCTTGTCAACGACCCGGCCGGAGGCCTCGAAAAAAATAGGCTTTCTACGGTCCGGCCGGACACAGACCCAGCGTTCCGGCCGGACCCCTTGTCAACGACCCGGCCGGAGGCCTCGAAAAAAATAGGCTTTCTACGGTCCGGCCGGACACAGACCCAGCGTTCCGGCCGGACCCCTTGTCAACGACCCGGCCGGAGGCCTCGAAAAAAATAGGCTTCCTACGGTCCGGCCGGACACAGACCCAGCGTTCCGGCCGCGACCAGGTCAACGTCCCGGCCGGAGGCCTCGAAAAATATAGGCTTCCTACGGTCCGGCCGGACACAGACCCAGCGTTCCGGCCGGCAACCAGGTCAACGTCCCGGCCGGAGGCCTCGAAAAATATAGGCTTCCTACGGTCCGGCCGGATGCATACCCAACGTTCCGGCCGGCAACCAGGTCAACGTTCCGGCCGGAGGCCTCAAAAGAAATAGGCTTCCTACGGTCCGGCCGGGGCTCATATCAATGATCCTGCCGGCCAAATCGGCACCAGAATTGTTAAGGGCAATCATCCAGACAACGTGACATCACATGAGATGGCGCATGCATGAACCAGCACCTAGCCGGGGTCACTTGAGCACTGACAACATCACATGCCTACAAACATGAGGCAAACACATGGTCACCACATGTTGCCCATCAGGTCCTCCACATCGTGCAAACTTGTTGCGCAACTCTTCTCCAATCCCCCCCCCCACTCTCCAACATGACTACCGCACAGATCAGCACCCAATTTCGTTCCTACCTGAAGGGGACATATTTACACTGGCTGTCTCGCATGCAGGAGGGCCAGGCGATGAAGCCCGAGCCACTTCCAGGTCTCTTCCTGGATGTGTATATGATACGCCAGGCGACGAATGCTGGCAAGATGTTAGCTCAGGCTTATTGTAACCGAAGTGAGCTTCCATTGACCGCCATCGTAAGCTTGGCTAACACTCCACTTGGAGGGAGCGTTGAATGGGACGCATTGACTTATCCGATGACAACACCGAGCGATGAAGAAGCCGAGAACGTACAGTACGAGGCGTGCAAGGAGCCTGCGACCATCGAGGATAGCGCCGGCCGGATTCTTTTGTGGCATCTCCCCGGCGTAATCACACCGTACTACCAGGTATGCGAGATCGCCCGGCAGACATCACACGGTTGTTAACAATCAAGCAGCAGTTCATATGGGACACCGCAGGTCAACTGGAACCGCTGTTCCTCCGCTACCCCCCTACCACCACCGAGAAGTGGAGACAAGATATCAACAACTACCGCAATGCGGATGAATGTCCAATCTTCCCGCCGTCGTGCTTGTCTGCCTCGCCCGGCTGGTTTCAGCAGGGTCATACGGTGGGCATCCATGGCGTACTGATCATCATATGTTGTATTAATCCGCAACAGGGTACTACAGGTCCACCCCAGGTATCGCGGCTGCTGAGGGAACCGACCTCGCTCGCCCGACCGTGGCTCTCGGCGATGGAGCACCCCCATATCATCCTCTCGGCGATGCTCGAGATACTCCATCCGGACCTCTATGCAAGTGGCGTGGCGTCGATCAATGCACTGCGCAACGACCCGGACCGCGCTAGCGTCGCCGAGATATGGAACACGCCATTCAACGCCTTATCGGTGATTGCCAACCGGGCCAGTCCACTTCACCGAGACGTACTCTCGGCGAAGCACTGGTACGATATGATTCTCACGCTCGGCGGAGACAAGACCTTGCATATGGAGTATCCTACTTTGGGAATGAAGATGCCATACTACAGTGGCACTATGGAGGTATTTTCTGGCTGTCGCATACCTCATGCCGTACGGCAATCGACCCAGGAGCGCTTGTGCTTATCTTACTATATGCGTGAGGCGGTACATGCATGGACAAACGCTCCCCCGGCGGATTGGCGGATGGACTCGGAGTAGCTGTATAACCTTACACTGTGTTTACAATATATATGGAACTGTTGATGTGCTCGGCGGTTTCATCTTCACCATAACTGTACAGGTATAGCAGACAGTCTGGCCTAGCCAGCTGCCTTGCTGCCCAATCGTTCTGCCGGTGTTTGATTCGGCCGGCCGGTGCACATAAGAACATCAAAGCCTTCCCTGTCATATCACGAGATGTAAATACCGGTGCCAACACGACTGTACACTAATGGGACATCCCGACTATCCATCATGCGACTCTGAGACAGGACGGGGTGGCGAAGAGCCCGCCGCGGCACTCGGCGCTTCTCCTGGCTGCAAGACCGCTAACTCGGCCGCCTTCACTCGGTCCACCGCCCGCCAGTAATCCACCTCTGCCTGGATGTATAGATCCATGCCGGCCATCGATTCGCCGAGACTGTCCAACCAATTCAGGGCTTGGACTGGCACGTTTGGGGCATGTTCTCCGGTGAGATCACACCTGGCTCGGGTATTTTTGGGAGCACAGGGAGGTGGATGCGGTCGGTGTGAGCTCTCACTTCGTCCTAGTTTTTATTGTATAAGTCCCATGTAATGTGAATGTGCTGTGTAAAACCTACCCGGAGCTTCTCCACATGCAGCCGGCCATCAAGATGCTGGAGTTGCTGTTGGGCGGCCTTCAATTGCTCGGCGACCATCTCTTGGATTTTGGCCTGCTCGGTCGTGATGTCATCGAGCGCATCTTCGATTTGATCCCGGACTTGAGGCGGATCTTCCATCCAAGCACCGACCTGCCCCTCTGTTGTGGCATGAATATCCGGAAAGGCCGGAGAGAATTGGTCAGTTACCTGGTTCACCAGAGTGCTCGGCGTGCAGCGAGGATGTCTCCGGCTGCGGCGGTTGAGCGACATCCGCTGCTCGGAAGCCGAGGATCATGTCCACCAGGACCTCCTCCTGGGTCTTACCCTCCGGCAGCATGATCGTGCAGTACTTGTCCATCACTTCCCCGAGACCCAGTTCCTCGGCCACATCAGGCTTCATCAGCCGCTCGAAGCCGAGCATCATGGCCGCCAGCGACTAGTGCATCAGTGGTTACTATGGTGCAGACACGTAAGTATGGATTGATCGCACCGTATAATGGATCATTGCTATGTATGGTAATTCTCCATTGCCCGTCGGGCGCAACTCCTGCCGGGCGAACTTGCCGAGAAGGTCCTTTGCGGTACTGTTGAGAAGAGGGCCGAGAGTGGAACGCATAGTGCAGCAGTGATTGGAAAGTAGCGGGGTGTTGTGGTGCTCGGTGCGCTTCGGCAATGAAGGTTAAGAGCAAATGATACGATCGTTATCTTCAACAAGCCACACACACCCATCACATGCCCGGTGTGGCTCGCACGTGCTGAGGCACCACCGGCGGCTCCGCATAAGGTTAAGCGTCACAACACACGTGCCAAGCGTTTGCCGACACGGGGATCTTCCCAGGGTTGTGTGTCACTGTGGCGCATTAGTGGTGGACAGTTCCTCTTGCACATCATCCACCAACCAAAATACTGTTCACTCAGCATGGCCCTGGATATGGTAAGTCATCGGCCGGCCGAGACAATCTCCCTTGGCTGATACACAATAGCATCCCCGCTCTGGACCATATCCCTGGCTGAGGGGAGAGTTGATGGTGTTTGCATTTTCAACCGCGTGAGCAAATCCCACGGTTCATCCTCTCCGTTTTTACTGACTAAATGTTGCAGCCACGCCGAGGTAGTGCCCTTCCGCCCGAATGCATACACAATCAACCGGTATTTCTTCGGGCATGTGGTCATGTCGGTGACCCATGAGAACAGCCGAGAAAGTGTGGAGATGCCGGAGATGGACGGCCGGCTGGCATTCCTCATGATGCTCATTGATTGGGTGGAGATCC